GACCAAGTGCGCAGCCGTAACTTTTTTACCATATCGATTTTATCAGAGGGGTTAATTGCCACTAATTTTGCTCCATCAACTATTCGATGGATCCGGCAACCCACTTGATTTTGGCAGAAAGTCGAAAATAAAGATAAACATTTGTCACATTGCGTTAGCGCTGATACTTAAAATTTCATGAGACTCTTGAAAAAGGCGGCCTTTCTGTAAGGACTACAAGTAAGGAATAAAATTCCGAGGAGTTAAATGACGCGCGTAGGCGTAACTTGGCGACTTAATGTCGCCAAACAGCATATAAGAATATGCAAGTACCAAGAACTAGTTCCTAGGCATATGTTTTCTTTACGTTTTTTTAAGGAAATGAAGCCGTTGTTTGGAAAACTCATGAACCCATGTTCCTTCCTCGCGTCTTTGGGGGAAGCGAAAGCGGACTCGAGAGACGAGCGAGAATCATCCCATAACAAACGATACTCAGTTGACACTTAGCCTAGTCGAGAACGAACATAACCTTTTTCGCTTGAGATTGATTCGTTCGTAGTTAAACTAAAAAGCGTCCCCTGTCGAAAGCAAAATATTTTAAAATAGTTTTTGCTTCCTTTCTCTAATTTAGATTCTTTTTTTATCTAATTACTTTTTTGTATGAATTAGCTGTTTGAAGAACTTCAAGAAAAAGGAATACTGGTCGTTTCAGTTTCAGGATCGTTTATAATCCTCCACTGGGGTTATTTGCAGTTCAAGTTGGGAATCATTTGAAGTGTTTAATTATTTACAGTCAGGTTCATTTACAGAGGGGACAGATTTTGCATGACTGACAAGGCCAATTTTGTATTTGTATTTAAATAAATGGTTTTGACCAGGTGAAATGGCTATATAGTGTAATACATATGTCTTACACGTAGCGTATTCTATCAGTATGCTGGATTTTTTTTTGTTTCCATCTTTACAACAAATGACTCTGATGTCCTTCTTGGCCATTAATAACAAATGTTAAGTTTGTATTCACTCTAGTTTGGCTAGGACGATTTAACGATCTGTGCGGATCGTCTAATGTACTCACGAGTCGTGCCACTCGCACTGGTCATCTTGTTTATTCATGAATCGCAGCAAAACAAACGAGCAAGGCCAATGTGTGTTTGCGTCGTTCTTTAAGCTCAGGCAGTGAAGAATTACACGTCCTGACTTCTTCATATTTTGAACAACACTCATAACTCACGCAGCAAAGAAAATATAGAGGTCAATATGAGTTGTCACTCGTATCCTTGATTCGTACGGATCAAATGATTTGACAAATCGTACAGTGCACCCTTCTCTTGCGACCCTAACGCTATATTGTAAGTGCCACCGATGAAATACATTTTGCGACTCGGCAACGAGTCGTTACTCCTATCCATGAATCGAACGATTCGACAACTCAACTCGTTCAGGGTACCCTTCTATCTCTCTCGACTCGTGAATATATTGGAGGATCCGTTCGGATACATCACCTGGCCAGGCAGACAAAACCCCGGTACCCTAATGAGATCATAGAACGACGGCATGACCCTTTCGGGTCGTACGACTCGTAAACACATTACACGACCATGGCCAGATAGACACTCACGTTTTGACGTTTTAGTCTAATTGATGAAATTTACGGAACGACAGCATGAACTGTTAATACATTAGAGGACAATATATTCACGGGTCGTGCAAATCGTGAATATTAGACGATCTGTATGGATTGTCCGGATTGTTCGAGTCGACACAGTCCACTATGGCCAGATAGGCACTCGCTTGGGGAAAAAAATCTCCCTCAACCTTACGACTCATAGGGATCATACGACTCTTGAATACATCACTCGATCCATACGGATCGTGCAGATCGACAACTCAGTTTTACGACTCCTTACTAGCCGTGGTATTGGACAACCACTCCCTAAACGTTCTTTTTAGCTCGCTATCGATCATATTAAATTTTAAATCGGGGAAAATCACGGCAAAAATGTTCACAATCAATATCAAACGTGCAACTCTCATTGGCTTAAGTTGACATGATCCTCAGTGACACGTTTTTAAGACGGAAACAATAGTTCTATCTTTTGAGAATTTATGCCAAATGTATTCTTTTCCCTTTCCCCTTTACAAGGATATCTTTGACTCACATAGATACGCTCTCTTTTATTTGAACACTTTTTCTGGATTTGCATTTTAACATTCCACTTAACTTATCGCGAAACGTTTAAAGTACAGCTGTCCATCTCTGATCGAATGGCCAACCGTTGCATAAGTCCAGTTTTTCTTTTACTTAATTAGGTGCTCACCATTTCAGTGATTACATGTGATACAAGAGAAAGTTCAAATTTTCTCTTCCTCATTCTTCAGATGAGTTTGAATTAGATGTTTTGCCTTGTGGTGATTGGTACAGCTGGGTGTTGCGTGTTTGGCACTATCTTCAGCTGTGTTAGGTGTTTCCGTTCCTTCCGCTTGACCTGTAACTGGATCCTTTGCTTCGTGGTAGGTTCAGTTGCCAGGTCCTTTATGTTTACCAGCATCTTTCGAAGTGGTAGGTAAGGACCACACAACCTTTTCGTTGATCGCGATCTTCATTGTAGCAACCACACTTAACCAACTTGGTTTCCCAATCGCATCCTTTCCAGTCCCATTTTTTCTTGTTCATATATGCAGTTTCCTTGCAACTCCCTGTGATTTGTTCCTCCGACTTGTGGCGAACGCACGTTTTTCCTCGGCAAGTGCACCAGACACCAACCACGTAGTGACAATCATCGTCGCTACGGCAACCTTCTTCAGGGATGGAATATTCGAATTCTGGATATATTTCACGCGATCTGCTGGTGTAGTCGAATTTTTGAACTTCAACACCATTGGTTTTATCGTAGTGACAACCATAATTCAAGTAGCCTTTGTAGTAGTACTCGAGGTTTGTTGCTCGGACATAATTCTTAGACCCTGGTTTAAAGCGGTCTTGTAATAAGCTCGAGATCGACATGAAGGTATGCTGGACTGGCGAAGGTGCCTCATCAGCTTCATTCATGAGTTTCTTAATCAGTTCTACTGACGTTTCTCCATTTGCCAGCTCGCTATTCGTTACCCTTAGTCCTCCTCTGACGAACCGTGTCTCGCTAACACTCATCTTACTTGCCTTGGATTTTTCACTGCTGGTTACGTTAGAACAAGCAGAAACGCCAAGCTTTCCAACGGACGTGGGACCTGTAGCCGAGCCACAGGCTCTCACCTGGAAATCTCTCTCGCTATACGATTCAGAGCTCTTCGCGAACACCATTTTACACATTATCGCTCTTACAGTTCTATATCTAGCAGTGTGTCAAGCCTCCTGATGTCTGTTGTGTATAAAAACCCATTTACGTTACTATTTCTGTACTATTTCGGATTAAGCATTTAGCTTACCATATCAAAATCTCGGTATCAGGAAGAAATTATGGATTTGTTCAGACACCCGACAGATCACTGGACTGATTGTTTGGCATTTGTCAACAGTCTTGATACCCGACAGATCATTAAGATATATAGACTGCTTGCCAACTCGTATCTGTACCATATCAACAGTTTTGATACCGGACAGATCAGTGTACATGTAGACTGCTTGCTAACCAGTGTTTTTGCCATATCAATTGTCTTGATACCCGACAGATCATTGAACCCAGATGTGGTAAAAAGCTGTTTGGCCACAGTAGCATTATATTGACCAAGCATGTCTATGATTCTAATTTAACTTA